GGGAACCATTCCTTCCTAACCTACTTTTCAACGCATTCTCGTCTTCATTTTCGCTGGTCATTCTCCGACGCGGGCAATTTCCCCTTCTGATCTCTAGTAGATATCAGATTACACGTCTAATAATAGTAGACGGGCGAAGGTGGTGCGGTGGCTAACGGCGCCATTTACCACGCGGGGTCGCGGGGTCAAGTCATGAATCTCCCGTTCATTCAAACCATGTTTTTCACCCCTTTAGGGCCGCTTGATGGATATCACACTCATCTGGAAGGGAAATTACATGGTCTGACACATCGGCCGACTTCCGCAAGTCACTGCATGAGCCCATCCAAATGCCACCATGACTCAGTAAAGAAGCTAAATGCGTACCGCACCAAAAGAGGATTGGTCTGGTCAAAGGTCAGCTTACCCTTTTTACACAAAATAAGGATAAGCCGCTAAGGAGCTTTGGGGATACGCCACGCATTCATACAGGATCGCACAGAATGACACTCATACAGGATCGCATGGGGGGCTAGAAAGAGCGTCGGTCTATACAAAGTACTGCTTGGGCCTGTTACATCATATTACCGCTGATGAGGAAGGCTCCTCGACCGCATACAAGAGCCCGTCCTTAAGTTTTGAGAAGGAGAGGTCCGCCGCGCTACACCTACCTTTCTTCCTCCCTCTGCTCTAGAGACGTTGGGAGAGGGCGGAGGGAAGGGGGCACGGTTGTATCCCACCTTCACTTTTCGGGAGTTATATCTGGGATGACGGAATTCTGAATTCTGCTGATTTTTGCCGTCTCAACGTCGCTGCACCCCCGCTTAATGGACGCGAGGGGCAGGTGTCGAGAGCATGCAACCCAAGCCGAAACCCCGGAGCATACGGGCTCGGTCAGGAGGATGTGGCCACCCGATCGGACGTGGCCCCTGATAAGCGATTCCCCATGTTGATTTCCTGCTGGTTTCAAATGGGATCGATTTTCGGCGGGGGAGACACGTACGAAGTGGCAGCAACCTCCTATCCGGGGAATTTGCTTGCGCGTAAACCCGTCTGAACACTTGCACTGGCAGCTCAGTGGAGCTACAATGGCGCTTGCCAGTTGATCTATCGATATCACCTGGAAGATGCTCTAGCGGACCGAGCGAAGCCACAATCGGTGAACTTAGATCAGAGCGATTTGGAATTGGACCCTGTGATGACCATCCCCCCTGAACTTCCCGCTCCTATCCATTTGTTCCTTCCGAAGATATGCGTCTCGTTCTCTCGAAATTCATTTGCAAATAAGCTCATGCCTATCAGAATTAGTGATAGAATTATTTAACGAACTCACCAAATCAGAGAAAATCCTTGGAAAATGGCCGCAATGAATGTGAATAACGTGCTTTGCAGCTGAAAAATATTATCAATTATTACGATTCCATTCACTGATATCCATCCCGTTAACAGCTGATATTCATTCTGTGAGTGTAATGACCGATTACCCACCGCTATCTAGGAGGGACAAAAATAATAAAAAGGTGCTATACAGCTGGATATTTTTTTGCCAGCGTATCTCATTCATATATAAGCTAGTGCTGGACCCAAATGATCTGGGTAAACGCGGATATGCCACGCCATTATTCCACCCTCAACCACCACGAGGTTTTCCGGTCGTTGAGCGCCCAGCAACCTTTAATTACGCGCATTCATTGCAGTTGCTATAAATACGCTTCTCCAATAATCTCTGTGACTTCAACGGAAGTCTCATTCACCCCCAAGGCTGACGAATTCCCGGAGAAAATTGCGGGAGAATTGTGACAGCAACAATTAAGTGAGCGTGGGTATTACAACCAACTGGAACATTTAATTGCCCGGGAAACGAGGGTGGGCTTATCAACGCGCTCAGATTCTTTCAGCGTTGAGATGTCTCAGCGCTGAAAGAATCTCAGCCTTTCAGGGTATCCGAGTTTCGTTGAATGCTGTTAAGTGAGCTAATAAAGTTAAGACGTTTTTGTTGCCGGCCTTATCTGTGGCAAATCTAGTTCCGCCTAGGCCATTTGTGCAATTGTTATCGAGCTGTTTGGCTTGCGTGTTCCGCTTTGGTTTTTACCCTTATTCCTCTGTCCATTCTCTTCCGAGACGGCGACGAATCACCAACGAAATCTATAAAGTCTGAGCATCTCAGAGCAAGCTAATGGATGACACATCGTGACAAACATTCCTCCACTTCATCCTCAGTCTCGAATTAATCCACCACCCCCATGACCGACATAATGGCCATGTGAAGATGGACAGCTGCATTTTGTTCCATGTGATAGGAGCAGGAGCTCTCCCAGCAAAGCGCCAGTTGTGCTGCATCGACAATGGGCGGGGCTTTGCGAATCGTGGTCCCACGGTTCACATCTTTGCCAGCCGGCTTGCTCGTTGTCAATTCACACCCGTTTTATTCCTATTGTTGGTTTCATCTTGGTTTCACCTTGAACTTCTCCTTCTGGAGGAACTATTGAATCCTTTCTTTTAGCCTTCGTCATGACAATTTTGTAGTGCTAATAAAGCCCGCTAATCCCATCTTCCGCGATGATCCTATTCCCTGTTCTCCGCTGATTCAATTAAAGAAGCGAGGCCGAAAGCGAGCTCGTGCATACGTTGCGAACCATCACATAGATGATGACGACGGAGGAGAACGTTATTTAGCTCCAACTTGCCTGTTGCCCCTCGTTGCTATGAGAAAGGGGCGTACAGAGCCTGGCTGTGTCCTCGAACAATATCTGCCTCTTTTCCATGACGCCATTCTAACGTCTCTCTAGCTCTATTTCTTAAAGATATCATAAATGCAGAACACCTGTCACCATTGTCACTTGGCTTCCATATCGCTTGATTTTACCTCATTCAATTTGCATGAGTCGGTTAAGGCGAGATTTATCGGCCTATTTCTCAGGCCTTTCACCTTTCAGAATCCAACCTACGGGCTGAATATCAGTAGGTATGTCGTCTGATCCAAGGCGTGTCTCTTTGTTCAATCGATGGCAACAAAAACAAACTGATGTACCAACTGGATTGGAAGGTATCAATGAGGAGGAGTTGATCGAATACGAAAGAAGCTTTCCGGCTTTTCGACAAGGTAAAGCTTTTTCCAGGTCTTATAAATCTCCAGCTTCCCTTAGATTAACAAGAGCGGATCGTGTTTCACAAAATGAATGAACAGTTTTTCATGTTAGCTGATTTATCACGCACAAATGACGCCATGCCATGTTCGCGTCATAGTAAGAAGCTTATAACTCGCCTTGTAGGAACAACAACCATCTTGAAATCCCCAGATATCAGGATCAGTGATAGATGACGATTTTCAGGACGGAAACGGCTCTATCTCTTCGAAGGAGTTGGGTGTGGCAATGAGATCGTTGGGTCAAAATCCCACAGAACAAGAATTGCTCGATATGGTGAACGAAGTAGACATCGATGGTAGCGGTACTATAGATTTCCCAGAGTTCTGTCAAATGATGAAAAGAATGAACAAGGTCAGTCTCGTGTACTTTTCATGTTTACAAGTCACGAGATAGTTGAAATACGAGTCGCAGTTCGGTGTCAAGGGGTGGGGGGGGGTGCACTTTTGCCGCTTCCCATCTGCCATCCGGTGGAGACCTGTCAAATCTTGTGAAGCCACGAAAACCAAGTTTGTAGAAACTGCTCCTGTAAAGCAGTAAAATACCATACAACTAACATTTACCATGACGGCTCTACCAGCCTGCTCCATTTCCACACAGTGGCGAATCATTGTTTCGGATTCTTCCGGGGGCGTTATTCGTGGGGCAGGAAGAAGGATCGTATTTTCGCTCGCGTTTTACCCATCTCATACATGTGGTATATACTTTCCGCCCATACAAGTCAGGAACATGGGAAGAGAGGGTGTCTACCGTTTGTTTCAAATTTTCCAAGCGGTCAGATGTTGCCCTGTGAAAAAACAACAGACCAAAAAGGGGGAGGTCGTAATCAACACCGAATTACCATGATAGAGGGCGGGATATATACGCCTCGCCGATCCGAAATCACGCCAACTCATGATGTGCCCTGGCTTAAAGAGTCCACAGTGCGTAACCAGAAAGTGAAGGCAAAGAGGGTTCTCCCCCCCCCTCCACGCCTAAGCTTCAGAATTCTATCTGAAACCTTTCGAAAAGAACTCCAGCAACCTCAGGTGATCTAATCAATATGTATCTTTCTCTCTGATGTCCCTACCACATTCGTGATCCCCAATTTATTTACATACCAAAGATCACGTTTAAAACATTGTTGCTCTGTTCGGTTAAGGAAAACAACCCTTAAATTTGATGTAGCATGGGACGGCGTCGAAAACAAACCCACTAGGGGGACTCATTTAGTAGAGAGATCCATGAAACAGCGCATGTGGCAGCCCTCCGACGAAAGTCCGGCCATTTTTAGCGGCACCACAAAGCGCTAGAGTGCCATTTATCGGTGCCAGCAGCTGCTGCAAACGATACTGGTATTCAATGCACGTTGAAGATAATTGAGTTCAAATGAGATGAGACCGACTGATTGCCTGCTTCATTTTTCCGGTGCACTCTACCACCCTCCCATTTCAGGAAAATGACAGCGAAATGATTCGGGAAGCGTTTCGTGTTTTCGATCGGGACGGAAATGGATATATAACAGCAGAAGAGTTCCGCTACTTTATGACGCACATGGGCGAACAATTCAGTGATCAAGAAGTTGATGAAATAATTGCCGAAGTTGATATTGACGGTGATGGACAGGTAAGGCACCAAAGATCGTACTCCTTCTTTCTTTTCTTCCCCGACCAAAATTCATCTCAGGGGAAACTGAGCAGCTTGAGAGGTGGTCATACGGGATCAGTACTGAAAGCAGCTGCTGACCGCAGGATTACTGCAGCAAGCGCTTCGATAAGCAACTACGGTGCAACTCGGCTATAGGGGGAGGGCATTTCGTACATTCGCTGCTTCACTAGTTCCGGTTTGAACTCATTCTGGGAAAACCTGTGAATCTCGTGAAGCTGGCGCAAGGTCGCCATGCTACCATGGTAAATGGTGTTTTTATGGTATTCCATTGCTTGAAAACAGCTGGGAGAAAGGAAGCTCTGGGGTGGGCTGGCCACCCGGAATCGACCCGCCTAGTACCATCGGGGGCTCACCAAGCGCAAACCTGGGTACCGTATCCCACATATTCCACGTATGTATTCCACACAAGATCCTGTTTTCGTCCCAGATACGACCTTGTGTGCGTTCATAACTCGACATATTTAATCGCACGCGCAATTTCCGCGGGTACAATCTGGCTTTCTGAACGTGTAACCTCATGCTGACAGGTGGTCTCTGCAAGATTTAGTTGGCATGATTTCGTGGT